CAGATATATCGGCCGTCAATTGGCTCTCAATCAACATTTTGCAAGGTACGATGACGTAATCAGACCATCCCGCATTGAGGAGCATGCTAACCTAACGGAGAATTATGCGGTCTAGAGCAGTCTTCTCCACTTAAAAATTATACCAGTAGTTGTAAGAGAGCTTGTTCCACCATATCTGATGCTTTCTTCAATATCTTCAAGTGTGAAACATTCCCTTTAAGGGCAGTGCGGGCGAGTTATTATTTTGAGGATGCATTTATGGCTTCCTGTTAACCGTTCTGGTTGGTGCATTCGTATCATTTCATTTATTTACGTTGACGACTCACCTTTTGGATTTGCATTGCTCCGCCCATTAGCAATGGCTGTTTGATGCCTTGTGCCGTAATGTCAATGCAAGTGCGTGTTCTTGGATGGCTGAAACACGTGACCGGAGCAGCTATCTTTGCGGTAACAGTCGAATATCGCAGACGAAAGGATCTGACAAAATTGAATTCTGGTCAGTTTTCAAGCTGTCGCAGGATACTTGAAAATGTTTCAAACTAAGTCAGTGAATCCGGTATCGCCACACTCGAATCGGTTTCAAAGTCCTCCAAAGAATGTTCTTTATTGTCCCTTTTTTCGAAAATTAGGCTGCTCACGTCTAGGCTTTCACAAAGGGCGCTACCACAAAAATTGAGTTTCTGTGCACCGCTTTGACGCATGACTGTGTGTGGCTGCAACTGTCGTTCGTAGCTGCAGCGTTACGCCAAATTCAGTGGTTAAACTCGGCACAATTTCGCTCGTGAAAGACGAGTCCAGTGACAGAGTACGGTGTCAATCTCAATTCCGCTGCCGTCCGGAGAAGAAATAGAGTGGGGGCTCGAGCACGCGTCCGGCCCGACGCAGCGCACCGGCAAAGCGGTCTGATGTGCTGAGGTCGGTGTTGTCGCACGTTGCCATGGTGATGAAGCCTTCGTCGACGGCGGCACGTTTCGGTCCAATAAGTCGCTCTGTGGCGCAGCCAGTGAACTCGCTTTGCAGCAGCCATTGCTGACGGTTGGTGCAGGCGTGCTACGCTGCCTGAGGTGCGGTTTCCACGCCGACAGTGGACCGGTGCGGGCGCAGCCGAACCCCAGCAGGACGTCCACTCGGCTGCTGCCAGGCTACTGGCGGCGTTTTAATCATGCCCAAGCGATTGACACACTAGACACCGACATAACCAAGCTGCAGAGCATGCCGCGATTCTTCCATGCGTCTTCCATCGCGAGTTCTTTCTGGCTGGCTCCATGGTTCCATAAGGGTATAGCAAACTTTGACCAGTATCCTCGCTGGAACAAACTGAAAAATGCAATGTCAATTATAGATTGTTATGTATATATATATATATATATATATATATATATATATATATATATATATACATGCGTGGAAATATATGCATCCGTGTCTACACTGAATCTCTCCGTTTATGTTCAATTAGACTGAAATATAAGTGTTTCGCGGTCATTGTTGTGGAAATACGTACGCCGTATTAGACGGACAGGATTGAAGCTCACAAAAAGCAAAGAAAGAAATGACAAGCAGCTTGGCTCGGTGACTGGATAATGGATTCTGGGCATGTTGACTGGGATGGGCTGGGTACGGAGAACGGGACGCCGTGAAGCTTAGAAAAGATAATGATAGGAAGGATAAGAATGTTAAAAGGCAAAAGGACCGTTATGCTGCACATGACCAGGGCCAGAGCCTGCTATTCAGAGTTCCAGCATTTCCTCATGATTCGCGAGGATTCAAGCAATTGCCACTTTACTTATTTGGGGAAGATATCAAGGTAGTCGACGCTTATAGCCTGGCCTTGATAAGCCTTGAAATAGCTTTGAAAAGCCGATATCCAACACCTCACTTATATGTGCTCGATGAATCTTAACGGTGGCAATATTAAGCACAAGCTGAGGCTGATACATGTATGACTCTCATGGCTTGACAATCACAGGCCCTTTGCGGATACTACCCTGATCTAGATGAGCGTGTTAATCGACTGACAATGACGCTAGTACACATCTCGCGAAACACACCAAAGTACGCATTAGAGGTGTGTCGCAACTGCCAACCGTGCAAGCACGACAATAGGAAACAGCTGTGATTTCTGCATGGCTGCGGAGCAAAAGGCGTCAGCGATTTCCTTTTCCTGGAAGTTGTCAACAAGTGTTCAAGACGCCCGGCGTTAAGAAAGGGCAGTTGGGTCATCTTATGCCGAATTAAGGTGTGGTCATAAAGCTGACGGATGAGAGAAGTCTCTGGCTTTTGAGCATCTTCCGTGTTGAGATGTAGTTCTTCATGATTGTTCAACTTGATTAAGAGATCCGGTTTTCAAGGCGTCAGGTGTGAAGGCGTTGTCTTCTGCTAGGTGGTGAGCGGTTGTGGTGGCTTCAATAAAAGTTAAGGCCGTTCTGGATAACGTTTCAATGACGTCAGCGAGGTGACCTGGTCTAGAAAAAAATTAATTTCTGAGCTTCTATTACGTGTGTACATGCTGTACACAATAAGGAGGCCAGGGGAGGAGGGCTTTGGGATCGTGCCCCTTTCTTGGAGACAGCCGGGCTCCCTGAAGCGGAATGGCCCAGTTTTTTTCGGCGGGGGAGCGGAACAGTTTGAGACGCAGGTAGGGTTTATGAACCATTAACGAAAAGGGATCCCTAGGCAGAAACATAGGATTTTAAAGCTAAGAATGCGCCATAAATAAAAAGCAGGGCACCTTTAGCAACAAAGGGGAAGGGGTCTTGCCTCAGAGGCCCCATGCGCCCCGACTCAGTTTCCTCTCAGGCGAAATCCTGGCCACGCCACTGATGCCGCATTTTAGGATTTAATTTCCCTGAGTTATAATTTGAATCACAACTCAACAGTGCGTAACCTCAAGTTTCAGGTCATCGTAAGCCCGGTAAAATGGCCTCAAGTGCTGAAAGCACTCGCTAGCTTCAGTCTGTTTCATGTGCGTTCGTGGGTACACACTTGAGTCATTACATTAATGCCATGGACATTTCATGCACCATTCCATTGATTTCGGCGTGCACGTTGCCGATGGGATACATAGTGAGTTCCAAGTTTGTGTACGGTTGAATTAAATGCGCAGGTCATGGTAGGTCGCGCAAGTTTAACACGCATCTGCGAAGATGCGGAAGCTATGTTCAAGTTGGGAGCGGGGACATACTCCATAATGCGAAAGTGAGGACGCTAATATTAGAAAGCTGCCCCCCCCCCCCCCAAGCCGGAATAGGCCCTCTAAGTCAATGACTGGCCCTCTTCAGGTCTACCGCAAGTACCGGTCACTGGGGCTAAAAAAAAAAAATACTTCACTGAATGGTGTGATGGTAATGCTCCAGGCCTGCTGAAATTTGATTGCTCTTTTCTCTAGCTTGTAATCGAACAATGCATTCAAAACAAGAATGGATCCAGGGGGGGGGGGGGAGCTTATGAGGTCCTCGTGTCCCTTCGTGGCACCCAAATCCCAAAACCTGCATTTTGGAACCACGTAGTGCTTATTTTCAACAGGCAGCAAATTCCAAGGGCACCGCAAGGGGTCACATTTCGAAGGCACCGAATTTCGTGGGTAGCACAATATCCGCAGCCTGTCCATTGCATGAAATCCTAGATCGGCCCATTCGGTAAAGGAGTGACAAAACCCAAAACCATATGTCGGGCATCATAACCTTCATTTTCAATAAGCGCCCAATTCCAGAGGGCGACACAGGGAGGGGGGGACATCTTTGGAGCATGTTTCAATAACATACACATAATGAGCCGTGTGCAGGCCAGAATGCGCCCACATCAGTCAATGCTGGACTCTCTACAGCTCGCAAAGGGACGTCTGCAGATAGAATATATGTCAGACATGTATGGTGTCGTCTGACACTCTGTTGCCGCACCATATTGAAAGATTTCCTGAATTTGCCTTCTGTGACAGCCACGGTCTCACTTTAATCTGACAAAGGTCAGCTGACTTTCGCAGCAAATCAATTTTGTTTGTGCTAAGCGATCCACTATTTGATTGCCTACAGCTTTGTATGGTTTAGCGGTGCTGTTCCGCGCCGTTCGGGTATTATATTATGAACACTTTTGGAGAGTCTAGTTGACCTCCTCACCCAACCACGTGTTAATGCGCAAGTTAACTACCATGCGCAGGAGCCACGACAAAAAGAGCTAATCTTATGAACCGCTTTTAGAAAGCAGCCATAAAACAGTCATTGTGTTTCGCCTTTCCTGGTGGGATTGAAGCTAACTACATCCCTCAACCCAGCATTACCTTGCACCTGTTCGTGCCGCACAACTTATGTTTAAGAATAGTTGATGTACTTCAATTAGGGCTATGCATCTATTCATCTGTTACATGCATTATCAAAAGAATTGGTCAACGGAAGCGTGTCTAAGGACAATGTGTGTCTTCAAGGTGGTTACTTGCTTTCATATGGTTGGTTACAGTGCTAGCCTTAAGTAAGTCGATTGCGATTCTATTTCCGCAATAACTAGGAAGAATGCATAACCTCTCGTTTTATGTCGCACAAAACGTAATACCGTGCTATAATCTTGCATAGTTTGCAAACAAATTGATGGAGAGTCAATCGGTGGTCGTTATGTCTGGAAATCGTGCTCACGAACACTATATATGAATGACTATGCAATTATGTCGTCATTGACCTTGACTGCCGCAGGGTCAGTGGAGTGGCAGGGTATCAATAAAGTTATAATCACGTCATGAATGACTGGTTGACCTTGGTTTGAACATTTTCGCGGGCGTGTAGCTCAGAAACTAGAGGGTTTTAGGTCTTGAGGCGGGTGGGGCTGTGAACTGCACCGAATGATCCTCAAGATGGTTGTTTCAGCTCAAAACCCCTTGCAGATGTGGAACGCTCCCTTGAAATGTCACGGAATGCTGCTGACAAGGGAGAGGGTGACACGTGGCGTGGACAATCGAACAAAAGCTGTGCCGAGCTATTGCCGAGCATGACGTGCTTCTGCCTTCGTTCCAGGGTTTTCCACCCACGGTGCCCAATCAAACAATCGGACAGCATCGTCCTCCTGCAACGACAGAACCGGTACGTACCGGCGTACCGGGTCACGTGACGACGCGCCCCGACATGACTGCGGTGCTTATCGGCAGCTGGGCTCCAGCCGCCCCGACATGGCTGCCGTGCTTGTCAGCAGTTGGGCTCCAGCCGCCCCGACATGGCTGCCGTGCTTGTCAGCAGCTGGGCTCCAGCCGCCCCGACATGACTGACGCGCTTGTCAGCAGCTGAGCTCTAGCCACCCCGACATGGCTGCCGTGCTTGTCAGCAGCTGGGCTCCAGCCAGCCGCGGCACTCCGACGCAGGATCACGTGATGCCGATAGGGTGGACTGCAGGATACAGGCAGCAGGCTCGTCTGTTGACCGGCGCTTGTGGTGTGGTAGGACGCCAGCTGGCATGTCGTGCGCTGGAGTCGGCAGCCCAGAGCTGGATACGACCGCCAGGCCAGCACATTCATTGCCGTGGGCGTCTTGCAGAAACCTGCACGAGCACACTCTCCGCCCCCAAAACAGAGAGGTCGGCGGATAGAAGTCGCAGAAAGGCTCTCTGCACTGGGTAATTCCCGGCCCCCGTAATGCAGCTGAACGTGACCAAAGTTCTGCAATGAGCTCTGCCCTGCCGCGGCCGGATCACGCCAGCTGGGGAGTGACCCTGTCAGGTCACAAACACCAGACGGGTCACGCCAGCTGGGGAGTGACCCGGTCAGGTCACAAACACCAGACGGGTCACGACAGCTGGGGAGTGACCCGGTCAGGTCACAAACACCAGACAGGTCACGCCAGCTGGGGAGTGACCCGGTCAGGTCTCAAACACCAGACGGGTCACGCCAGCTGGGGTCGACCTCCGGGCGAGCGACGTACTTTCATCTGGCCGCCGTGCGCAAAGCGTGTCTGGCAGGTGTCTGCTCCGTCTCGCACGCGCGGCATAAACACGCTCTGGGTAGCGGCACGAGCGGGCCAGACAACGCCCAGAGCAAACAAATCACACCACTTGGGCAAACAGGAATAACGGAGCATTCCCGCTGCGTGCTGCGAAGGGGCGGCATGAGGCAAAGGAGAATGAGAGCACGAATAGGGGAGAGAGGAGAGAGGAGAGTTAGCGGAGAATAGAGATAGCATAGAACAGAACAGAGAGGGAAGGGCTGAGGGAAGATGAGGAGAGAAGAGAGGAGAGAGGAAATAGAGGGGATAGAGGAGGAGAACAATTTTTTTTTTTGCAGAGAGGAGAGCACGGAGACGGAACGGGAGAGAGAGTGAGAGAGAGAGAGAGAGAGAGAGAGAGAGAGAGAGAGAGAGAGAGAGAGAGAGAGAGAGAGAGAGAGAGAGAGAGAGAGAGAGAGAGAGAGAGAGAGAGAGAGAGAGCGAGAGGGAGAGAGAGGGAGAGAGAGAGGGTAGAGAGGGAGAGCAGGACTTGGCGGCACATGCAGTTTGATATATTATAAAACATGATCAGCAGTTCTTGCGGCTGTCGTCTTCAGGTAGCCGATCCCAGTAAGACGATTAGGGCAGATCAGTACTTAATGTGATGCGGTGAAAGCATGTAATTTCATTAATTAAACAGTTAGATGAGGATGTGTGGTCGAAAAATGTCGTCCGGCTAGGACTAGGAGAGTGGCGCACACCTGTGCTTCCCCATATAACTTCAGCCTGCGTGAGGTGCTTCAGCCACGTGGTGTGCTCAGTATAGCCGTACTCGTCAGCGCGACGTCTCGAAGGCTCAATGCTGTATCAATGAAATATGCTCATCTGCCACTTATGCACTGTGTGTGAGCTTGCGCATGTTTATGCTTTGTATTTGCTAGCTATACTAATTCTCTATCTTGTACATTGGAAAATTGACGAATTAAGTGCAAATTTGGCAAAACCCGTGTGCAAAATTTAAACGGCCACGCAACTTTGGAACATACCTTAGAACAATGCAGTTAATACCGCAGTTGGTTTGGTACGTTACATATTTCGTGAATGGGGTCGCAACAGACCCATGTAATTAGGCTGTCAACCACGGTCCAAATTTTTAAGAGTAAAACAATGCTGTGGGTTGAAGTTTGAGAACAAACGTAAGGGTACCAGCACACGGCACTGAGTTTGGGCGTAGCAAGAACGGTACAGAATGAGCAAACTGGTGCTTGTGGCGCAGTAAGTGTGTGACCTAGCGGTTTACTTTATCTCACAAATGCAAATTTTGCGAAGTCTTCTTCCAGAAGACCTTGCAATGCCTTGCAATCACTGTATCCCTACAATCCCGCCACTGTAAGTCTGCGAGCCTCGCCTTCTCTTCAACATTCAGACTGTAAACTCCTTTAGCTTTTCAGATGGTAACTAACAGAAGTCCACTGAATTTTCCAACTTACATCTGGATGACAATTTATTTCAGTGATTTCTCAAGATAGGAGTATTTGTATGACGGAATGCTGGTTCGAGACTCATAATTATAAAGACAGCAATGAAATGCAGTGTAAGCTATCAAGCTTTTGCCTGTTGATATCATAAAATTATTATAAACTATTGCCCGCTATTTTGATTGCATTATATCTTGTCAGCTATTTTTAGATGTTGGCTTGCGTCATAAGTCTGTGGCTTAGCATCTCCCTGCTGGATCTGTGCACTCACTTTACTTTCTTTCCCAGCCATGGAAAAAAGTAATCCGTCCCTATTGCCTTACTGCAATGCATCATTAGACCCACGCAAACTCCCACAATAAAACCAACAAAAAATAACGAAGTTTTGCTGCCAAATGAACATGAAAAAATTGAACAGAAAAGGGAATCAGTGCATAGCACGGGTGGAATTCAGTCCCTTTCTCAGATCCTCCGGGCCGTAGGTCATAACCGGAATGTCGTAATGCAAATTTGTCATTAAAATGACAACCAACAGGCGATTAGATGCTTGCTGCCTATTAAAGCTCTTAAAAGGCTATATAATCAGTTTGGTAAATATATGTCACAATCAAAATTTACGCCTGCATTGGTTGGTAGTTAATGCGATTTATTAGTTTTACTGAACAATGTTGGATGGGATCATCGACTAGATTTCTTGAATATAGCGGACGTTGGGATGAAAGTATTGGGCTACTATGTGTGGAGTTCAGAAAGCAAGCATCAAAGCACCAACTGGACACGGTTGATCTCACATAGTCCAATTTAGGGCTACGTTTAGCGTCAGTTATCGTTACGCCAATGTGAGATGTAATTGCGATGCAACTTTTGAACTTTGTAAACAATTAAATATGATCAACACTCTGCACGCAGGTCCAGCGTGCGGCCGGTGTCTGTAACATCCGTGAAAAGGCTTTGCGATGATACTGGCTCGGAACATTCGGACAGGCGCGCGTCTAGGATTTATCGTGAAAACTCGGTGCAGGCTGTTTCCAAGTATCTCTCAACTGGTTTGCATGGATGACGTTGAGTTCATAGTAACTGCTAAGCAAAGTCTTCCGCACGCCTCCTGGCCTCACCAAACGAGGTTGGTCGATATCATGCGCGAATAGGATTTCGCCGGCGGCCGTTTCGCTGGACGAGCTGTGGAGGGCTTTACGAGCGATGCAGTGCTACGGCACGTTCGCTCATGGCCGTGCTGACACTCTTTTGTCATTTGTCAGCTGACCCTCCCATGTCAGTTAGAACAAACAGTGCGACCGTTCTGACACTCATGCGCTGCTGGATTGCGAGACCACCGTCTTTCCCTAAACCTGGAGCTGTCTGATAGTATGCACCCACCTTGTCCTTTTTAGGCGATCTCGTTAATCACCTAGGTCAACGTCATGTTACAAAAACAGGTAACATGGCCTTGACCTAGGTGATGACCTGACACTAGCTGGACTATCGCCTTGGCCTGTAGCATCACCGCTGACTCTTGAGTGCCCTCTGTGGCCAAACAGGGTCAGCGGTCTGAGCAGCTCGCTGCGTGTTGCAGTGCTCAGTGCGTGAAAACATGCTTCGTTCCTCATCACAGCCAACTTGGAGACTGCGGCACTTATGGGCACACCGGTGATTTAAGTAAGCGAGAGATAGTGGTGGCATCACGTGAAGCGTACGATGTGTAGCGCATAGATCACTCCATATCCCTGTCAGTATCATGTGACTGCGCGTGTGATGTAGTCGGATGTATTTGATATCACTTACAATTTGCATATGATCTCACTGACGCGTCTCGTATGACTTAGCGACATAGCAAAGGATTCGACCCGAAGCACCCCTGATCACCTGACGCAGGTGACATGACCTGTTGCCTGATGTGATGACCCGAAGACATGACCTGATGTGACCCGGTAGCGTGTGACACGGCTGTCAGCCGTCTCCTGACCCGCCGTCGGGCGCCCGCCGCAGAGCCACCGCCCTGGGAGAGGCTCACGGCCACCCTCCGCGAGCGGCCCGACCTGCTCGAGAAGTTTGTCATGGAACACGTAGAGCTGGACCAGCTGGAACGCTGGATCATCCGGAAAACGCAGCGCACCAAAAATTCGCAAGGTGAGTGACGCATCGCGGGGGTAGTAAGGGGAGGAGGTAGGGGGAAGGAGGGCAGAATACAAGCCCATTGAATGGCCTGCTGTGATGTTGCCACGGGCTGGTATTATTGATAACAAGAGCAAAGCTGGTTGCTGCCATGGTTGTGAAACC